GGGCTTGAAGAGCTCCACACTGTGAACCTACCAAGTGAAAGCTCTCTCCTAGAAGCGTAGAGGCGATTCCTTCTCTACGCCACTTCCTAGTCACGTAAACCTGCTGGCACAATGTGGATCACTCATGAATGGCAATGAGAGTATGGCAATAAATAATCTGGCTCAAGAGGATTCGAGCTATACTAAAGTAATGCGAGTATCGATGTGAGAATAATTAGAATCACTCCACTTACAAATGCAATATAGTCGAGTACCCCTTTCTTCGGCTTCTTCCTAACAAAGCGAAGACAGAGCAGATTTGTCCAGAGTCATGTGACTGTACTCGAAGCATCAATGATTGATTGGGACTGCCCATCGAGAGTCAAAGCGAATAGACAATGACTGTCGCATGAGCTGACTACTATATTATTGAAACATCCCTTAGGACCCACATTTTTTTCCTAATGAGCTTCTCTACATCCGGGGGCAACTCGTGATACGGAAGCTTGTTCTTGACGACCCCGATAGTCTTCTAAAAATGAAAAAATGAGAGGAGCATTAGCATATTCCTTGCTTCGTTTCCTCCAGTTGTGTCGACGGCTACGTAGCAGTAGTTCCCACGATCCAGGCAGTCGGCGAGGTTGACGCCGCTCAGCGTATCTCCAGATTTATACCAACGGTAGACTACGCCATTCGATGGATATGCTGATTCACTGTTGAGCATAGCATCTAGTTCATATTCGCCGGAGAATTGATCGGAATCCCCGACCACCATCATAACGAGGAGGAGGACACCAACAGGGATGTAACACATCTTCATATTGTGAAGCTATGAACTAACAGGGTTAGGACTTAGTATACCATTTATTGTGAATGTGTGGACGAAATCCATCTAGATGGTCTACAGTCTGAATTTCAGACACAATTTGCCGCCGCGCTCTCGCGATTAACAATGTGCTGATCGTAGTCTCGCGCAGGTGACACCTGCCAGGTGCACGTGAATGCATCACGTCATGCTACGTGAGGTGCCGCAACGGACTGAGATCTTACGGTTGAGATCATTAGTGACAGGCATTGAACATGAGCATGGGATGATCGATAGACGATAGAATGTATTAGGTTAGAGGTTGCCCGGAGTAATCCTTTAGCGGGACGACAGAAGGTTTCTCATGTTATTTTTACTCTACTGGCCTCGCGTGGAAAAACTGCGACACCACATTTAGTCAATCCGGTGTGTTTACTGAGGCTTAAGATGCGGAAATGAAGACCACTCTGGCAGAAGCCAAAATGCACACTATAGCGCCAGATCGTGCTCCGCGGACTTGAAACCACGATTTTCTGGAAAGAGGATCAAAATGTCGATTATTGGGTAATCGAAAACACATGCTCTCACGCACGTGGCCTACGTGTACCGAATTTCTCGTGATGTGAGCGCAGAAAGAACTTCTGACAATGTCTCTTTGTGCTCTCTATGTATGTTTTTTTACATCCATAGATGGCATGGTTATCTAATATTATCATCAGCTATTCCTCTCCCAAATGAATTTTCTTTCGCTGAGTCGTCTGGGAAGGATTACCCCATCGTCCGGTTGCTGTGATTTGGGCGTGAATGTGGCGCACAAAGTTGTGCGCTAGATGGCCTGCACACGTGAATTGATCGATTTCCCCGTAGGCTACGGACCGTAGCTAAAACCAGGCCAACCGCTCAGAAAGTATGCTTTCCTTCACGTCACATCGGCTACAAGTGTCGAGTTGCACAAGAGCGATAGCGGAAGCTTAAAACACGACTCTGAGCGCGGACCCGGTTCTCGGAGTTGTGCGCGAGTAAACAGTGCGTGAGGCTGTTGAGGCATACGAAGTTCCTAATAGGAACGCGTCACTCAACGCAAATCCTATTCTCGGTTCTAGTGTCTAGTTGGCTGGGGTACCGCCGAGAGGTTGTTGTACGAGTCGATGATTAGGGCTCCCGATTCTCCCTGTCTATTCGTAGGCAAGGCCGGTCTGCGAATAGACAGCCATGAAAGCCCCTCCGACTCGAGAGTGTGGGATTGGAGAACCGAGGCGCCATTCGGCGAAGGCTGGATCTCTAAGTGTGCGCGAGATTGCCAATCTAGCAACGTTCAACGTTGCCACTACACCTTTTCCCGTGCAAGTTTGACAAGTGAGCGGACAAGAATGACAATGTCACTATCAAGAGTGACAATGAGAATCCAAGTATGTCACAATTCAATTCTGTTACAATCAAGTTTGACTTTGAGAATTCAAGTATGTCATAATCGAGATATGTTACAATCAAGATTGACAATGAAAATCCAAGTTTGTCACTTTTCTATTTTGTAGCAACCAAGATTGACAATGAGAATTCATGTTTGACACCGGCAAAATATATTACAATCAAGAATGACAATATTCCACACGAGTTGACAATACGCACACAAGTT